AGGGCAGCACCCCAGCACTTGACACGGTCCCCCAGTAAATCGTGGGGGCATTCAAATAGACACCTTGCGGGTGCATCAGGAAGTCGCTGAGTGCTTTGGGAAAGCTGTCCCCCACCACACACAGGCAGAACTGAAGAACAAAGGGAGGATGGTTGTGCCGGGAGCGCCAGAGGCCCGTGGCGCCCCTTCTCAGAAGGGCCACGGTTGCTCAACAGGAGTCCAGCATTTTCCGTGAGCGCTGAGCCTGGCGAATCTTGCGGCCATAGAGAGGCAGGAAGAAGTGAGGGCTAGCGGCTCTGCAGAGGCAGCCGAGCGGATTACAGGTGCACAGAGGAGGAAACTGAGGCACCGTGGGCTTAGAGTCAGAGAAGAGCCTCCCTGAGACCTGGGAGTCAGGGCAGCAGTCAGCAGAGGGGGAACCCCAGGGCAGCGGCACAGGGCACAGGGCAGGGGGACGGCAGAATGCTGCGGGGCGGCCCAGCCCGAGGGGGCGCACACGCCCGCCCCGGGCCATGGGAGGGGCTCACCTGTGTGCACGCCGGGCCTGCATGGGCCAGGGCAGCTCCCGGGAAGGGTGGTCCTGCAGTTCCTTCGGGGCAGCTTCAGCGAAGGCCTGGGAGCCGCACGGCGCCTCCTCCTCCTCCTGGAGGGCTCCCCAGGGCAGCACCCCGGGGCCTCGATACCGAAGGGTCGCAGCACTGGGGAGCTCGTTCAGCACAGAGGACAGGGACTGGCCTGGGGCAGGAGGTGGGGGCGGTGGCTGGGAAGACCCAGGAGTCCAGACCCCAGCCCCTACTCCCCCAGAACTTTAATACCCAACTTTGCCCCCTGTATTCTGAGCTTTAGGCCCTTGTTCTCTGTCCCAGCCCCTAGCCGACCTCCTTTCCTCCCACAAGGCCCAAATCTAGATATCAACACTCCCCCCGCCCCCCACAAGCGGGAGCCCCAGCTTCTGGCCCGTCTGCCCAGAAGCCCAGGAGTCCAAGCCCCTCCCCCTCCGCAGTCCGGACCCAGGAGCCCAGGCCTCGGCAGCTCTCCTGCCCGGGCACGTCCACCTGGCTTGGGGGGCTAGACCTGAACCCCCCCCCACTCTCCGACCTGCTCGGGCCTCCCGGGGTGCGGGCCACCTCCCAGAGGAGCGCCAGGGCTCAGGGTCCCAGGCTGGGCTCTCTTCCATGGCCCCAGGCTCTGCTGTGCTTCCGTCTCCCGAGCTCTGGGGGCGGGGACTGCCCCAGGTGAGGGGGAAAGGGCAGGTCTGCACCTGGCCGCCAGGTGGCCCAGGGACTGCGGAGCACTTCCTGTTAACTCTAGCCCTGGGCAGGGAGCCCGCAGGCGCCCTTTGGCTGCCGGCGGCCGGCAGCCCGTGGCTAGCACCCCACAGACACTTGGACGCGGCCATCTTGTACGACACTTTATTGGGGAGCCGTGAATGCTGAGCCTGTTTCCGGCAGAGGGTGACAAGGGTGGGCAGGAGCGGCGGGACCCGCGGCAGCGGATGCAACCTTCAGGCCCAGAGGACCCAGGTCTGCTCATCGGCCCTCAGTTGCCCCACGCGGAAGGGAAGTTCGGGTTCCCTTCGGCTCTGAAACACTGGCTGGATGAAGAGGAGCAAGAGATGCGAGAAAGGCACTTCCGCTCCCAGGACAGGCCTGAGGCCCGAGGCTGCCGGCCCGCGCCATGCCAGAGGGAGTTGGTCCCTGGACCGCGTGCGAAGGGCAGACTCTGGACAGGACAGGCGAGCCGTCACACTCCGTGGACAGGTCCAGTGGCAGGCGGGCAGCTGGCCTTCTGGAGCCGGGGCGGGCGGTGAGGTGGCAGGGCTGCCCCCGGCCCCGTGCAGGGTTCTGCTGGGAGTGGGAATCCTCCGCAGGCCCCGAGTCCGACCGAGGGTTCTCTCAGGGAAGGGCGGCAGCAGCCTGGCACAGGGGCCCCAGGCGAAAGCTCGGCGGGCAGAGGGGCGGCGGCAGCTTACTCCTCCCGGAGCTTTTCGGGCTCGAGGCCCGCGGTGGCCTGGGCGGCCGGCTTCCGACGGCCGGGGCCGCCCCCGCCCAGAGCCAGCCCCAGCCCCAGCGCGGCCAGCGCCAGGACGTGGATGCAGAAGTAGATGGAGGCCCAGTACCGCAGCGTGTCGCCCAGCGAGAGCAGCACGAAGCCCATGCACATGTAGTCGTAGGCCCGCATCTTCAGGAACCAGTGCGCCCAGTCCCACGCCTTCTGGCCCCTGGGGCTCAGCCGCCCCCGCAGGGCCGACTCCAGCCTGCCCTCGGCGGCCAGGCACAGCGGGATGGTCAGGAAGCTTAGGTAGTAGCCAGGGTGGAGGCCGTGCCAGTAGGCGCTCAGCAGCATGGTCCACGCACTCCTGGGGAGGGCGGCAGTCAGCCCGGGCAGGCCCGCCGCCCCCAGCCCAGGAATGCGGAACTGCCCTCCACCCTGACCCGCAGACTTCCGGAGCCCAGCAGCCCCCTCCCCAGCACCCAGTGGCCTCAGGGTGGAGGAACCCTAGATTCTGGCTGCTTCCTTCGGGGAGCAAGCATATTCCTCCCCCATGAAGACTCGGAAGTGCTGGCCACGGTCTCCCCTGCGGTCCGCAGCGTGGGCTGAACTGGGCCTGCTGCCGCAGGGAGGACGCTCCCTCCTCCTCAGGCCATTTCTCTGGAAGCCCTAGCTGCCTAATCTGACCTGTGTCCTGGGGAGACGCGGCCATCTTGGGGGCCTCCGGGAGCGCCGCACTCCAGGAGCCTCTCCCAGAGCCTGGAGGGCCTTTCTCTGAACCCCGCAGCTCACGGGAGGCAGGGCCCCGCCCCTGCCCTGCGGGTTCACCCTACACTGGGCCCCGCTGAGACTACCCCTTACCCAGAGACGGGGTTTTAGTCTTCCTTCAGGTGGAGACACTGACTGTTGCAATCTGGCCAACTTATTTATTTGCCACGCAACTGGTCTCTGTCTGCCAACTTGCAGTGGGTGGAGAGGGGGCTCTGTAGACGGGCAGGACCTGAAAGTTGTCCCCAAGGCTGGGAACAGGACAGCAGGTCGCACGGGGACGGCCCTGCTCGGAAACTCGGCACTCACACGAGGTCCTTGGCTCTCCCAGCACCCACCTGCCGTGGGGGGCCGGCCTGGCTCTCCCAGCACCCACCTGCCGTGGGGGGCCGGCCTGGCTCTCCCAGCACCCACCTGCCGTGGGG